AGTCCTTACACCCTCATACCTCCCCCCCAATCAAAAATATAATCTCAGTGATTTTCACCAGCCACAAGTATTTGGAAGGAATTTCATATCCTTGGAAATAAAAGGAGCTTCAGGAAATGTGTTCTATCGTATGGAAAACATGTTCCTGTATTAAAGAACAGCTGTATAGAATAGGCTTGGATAAACTGTTCTGTACCTGCACATGGTGTTACACGGATATCAGACAAACTAACAAGCTCTGTACTAGGACTACATCCTAGTGGCTGCAAAACTAAGCAGCAATCAGCACTACAACAGGGAAAGAGAACTGAAATTGGAAAGCACATCAGTACAACTTAATAACCCAACTCCCTGCCAGAAATGATCAGACACGACACTTAAAATCATATATATGAACATTTCACTGACAATAAATAATATGAATGGAAGGAAACACTTCGAAAAAATAAAACCAAACATAAAAATTGCACACAGAACTCAAACACACCATGGTATCTTAGTGAATTTACAAGGCCATTAAAAAAACAGAGTGAGGCACATACTGTATTAAATTCACCTTGTTTCCATAACACAGAGCCAAACTTAGTAAATAAAAAAAAACAAAGTTTTACTCTGAATTTTATAGTGTTAGTTGCTGACAAACAAAACTTTTAAACTGAGTTGAATGTTCTTTTGTGTTGTTACAGGTCATTTTAGAACCCTTAATCTGTACCATTGTGCCCTTGGAATCTCTGCTTCAGTTCTGTAATAAACCAAAGGTAAATGTTTATTTGCAAGGGGTGAAGATAAAGCTACCAGAAACATAAGTAATTCCTTTAGGAAAATATAGTTAAGCAGAGGTAAAAATTGTATGGAATATTCAAGGGCCAGGCAATTCATTTAATATGAGTGTATAATGACCTAAGTGATAATTTTCTGCATCAACATAGCCTGTACCATACCTGCACCCAGACTTTGGGTTTTCCCTTTATGAAAAAGTCTTTGTAGTTATAATATGTAGACAAGATATGAGCCGAGTCAATTTAAATGATTTAAATTTTAAAATGACCTGCTGCAATTCTATTTTTAAGAATTGTATAAATCATCACATTTCCTCATTACATTATCTAGCTGTTGAAGTACAGCTATTCTAACACTTGTAACCACACCTTTGAACAGGGACACTTTCCTACATGCTGATAAAAATAGATCCCTAATTTAACCCATGCAGCCTGTTTTGAATAGCTGCAGTTTAGTGCCATCATGTCAATGACTAGCTCAGCCTCTCTCATTTCTTACCCCCTATTCACTAACAAGCAGATTAATGTGGTAATAATAGCTGACAGAACATTCACTCAGCAGTTAAGTTTGAGGACGTCTTCTTTAAAAAATACACCGGTAAATTTAATTTTTATAGAGCATATAGTCAAAATGTCATAAAACTACACCATACCCTCCAGTGAAGAATAGCTGATGCTTATTCCACATAATAATGTTAGTCTAATTGTCATAAAATAAGATGACATCTCTATAACTAGTAGTGCCAGTGTCAAAATACTGTTGGACACATGTTTTATTCATGACAGAAAGAATCACTCTTGATTCTGTCAATTGCTGGCAGACTACTTTTAAATCATCATAACTCTCTCCCCTGCTCTCCCTCGCTAGCTATGACCATATTATATAGTAACAATGCACTTGAGTACCTATCATACAGATTAATTTTTCTAGCTATCCATGTTTTGCTCTAACATCACAACTCAGATAACAAATTCCAGCTGACTTTTTAAATATATACTTAATTAGGCTTAAAATTGACTTGCAGAACACATAAGAAATGCTGATCACTTTAGTTTAGAAATGTACTTTCTTTTTCCATTGGAATTCTAGCAGTCATTCTTTCTGTGTAACTTAATGAAAATGGTTCAATGAATTTTGACACTACTTGTTAATAGTCTCGTCCGACATTACATTTTTCCTTATTGTTTTCTATTGGAAGTAACTGGCATTTTTTAGTTGAAAAATTATTTGTATACATACATACGCTTACTGCTTTTATGTATTTTTGGGTTAAAAAGCACCTTGTCATGATTTCATGACATCAACTGAAAGGTACCTGTGCTGTATTTACATTAGTCACCCTCACCTCAACCTGCTGCCCCCATTGGCTACAATGTTTTCACCAAGAGCCTTAATTTTGGCAGTGATGTTAGATTTAAACTACAGGCAGTTGAATGGATAGATAGTTTTTGCAAAGCAAAAGTTAAAGTTAAAAGTTTCCTTGACAATTGTTACTGCTTTTGCCATTAGCTGCAGTCATGCTGCTGCTAAATTAGCATATGGAAAAATAATTAATTTAAATGTTGCTAAGATCTTATTGGTAAGATCTCAGCTCTTCATATATGTTCCATTAAGCAATCTTAAGAGTTCTAGGGCTTGTTTCTTTAGCATCCCTGGCCTGTTGCTTTTTTTTGGTTTGTTTTTTTCCTTTGCTTTTCCTTTTTTTTCTTGCTTACACATGCTGTTCTATTTCTATTGCAAAAAATAGAGATTCTCTCTTATTTCTAGCCACAATTATTTAGAAAAAGCAACTCTCCCCATATATCAAACACAGAAAAGTGGAACTCACGTAGAACACCTTACCTTCCATAGACTACCACGTGAGGAAGAAGTTGAAAAGACTAATATTGGTGATATATAACTTACCGTTGTGATAGGCACCAATTAACATGTTTTCTTTACTAAGGAAAAAGTTATTCTGCCCCTCAAATCTGAGATCCAATCCATTTAAAAATAACTTGGGAAAATAAAGTAGAAGAGCACTGACCTTTCATTATACATGACCTTTTCATTCAGAGCATTTCAGAACCATTCTTAACATGTACCACAATCTGAAGAACAAACTTCAATCATGCAAAAGCTGTTTGATTATTATTAATTTATGTCATTGTTCAGTTGAACTGAGTGACTTAATACCTTCCATACGTGGAAAGTGCATTATATACATGGGTGATGACCCTTGAAATTAAGAATATGAATACACAAAGATGATACATGAGGCTGTCTAATAAACTCTGATATCAAGGCTGTGCAAGTAGTAAACAACCAAAAAGATCAAACAACACGATAATTTTTTACTAACTACCTATAAAATATTTATATAATGTTTAAAAATATGCAGAAGATAACACAGCAGGGGAACAGCAATGTTTTGCAAAACACATAAAATGTTTTGGTTTTATTACTAGCAGGGCTTTAATATGTCGCATTATAACAACTCTCTAAAAATATACTTAATTTAATGCACATCCTATTGAGATTTATGAGTAATACATAAACCTAATGAGTTGAATAATTATTAAGAAAAACAGGTTATGTCAACTGCTGTTAATAATAGATGATGATGAAGGGGACCACAAACTGGAAATATGTGTGCGCACACTGTGGAATCAAACCGGCAGAGTGGTCTAGGTTTACAATGGCCATAATTGTACCAGGTCATATTAGCAATGTCCAGAAGACACGTGATAACTGCCAGTCATTTCTTCAAGTTTCTAGAGGAAAAGGTGAAATTACTTCCTAACAGTAAAAGAGCAAACTTCTGTTAAGTTAACTGGTTGGAGGATGATGGGCAGCTTTTAATGGATACTGTGCCATATCCGCTTTTAGAAAGTGCCACAGATTGCAGGAAGGAGAGATCAAAGTTCTGGGCACAACTGCACTTTTCCTCCCCTCCTTCCCCCTTGAACATTCAAGACTTCAGAGACCAAACCTAGCCCTGATAGTACAGCGTGCCCGATCCCAGACCTCCAGAAGATCATACTATGCCTACAGGTGATTTCCTGAGAAACCAATTAATTTGTAATACACAAACTTTCTCCTTTCAGCAGTGCATGCTTTCCTGTCCTCCGCTTCGCATCCTTGCTACCACTGACAGACCCCAGACATCTTCCTAAACTATTACGTAGTTGTAGCCCTGCAACCAAGCTAAAGTTAAAAGAACGTGTCAGCATCACTGTTCTGTGCATATATATATATTTTTAAACTATCATTCATTAAAGATTAGATATTAAATATGATAACAGATATCATAATAAAAGATATTATATAATAGTGTACATATTATATATACTATACGTTGTATATATTAAAGTATATGCACTCATATATATTATAAATTATGTTTGTTATACATACTATATAAATGATATATAGTATATATTATGATCTAGCATGTATAATGTATATCATTTAGAATATTAATGAAATTATACAGTATGTATGCAATATTTTAAATTACATACATTATACATGCTAGATCCTATTATATACATACTACATAATCACAGGTAATATAAATATGATGTAGTATGTATATTACATA